AATTACAATAATTACAGTTGTTTACAGGAGTAGAGGTACATAATAACAAAGATAGATAGTAATACAACATAAATACAATCGTTGCTGACAGAATATGGTTATACAGAGAAACCCGAAAATGTGATTTGGATGTAAAACAAGAGATGTAACAGAATAATGACACGCGTCTTAATACAAATGGAGCCCAGAAAGTTGTTGAGCTAGTTGGAGAATAAGGTGCGGTACAACCCAGGAAATGCTGCAAAGCAGCAAGGTGCTTAAATGTGTAAGTTATCACGAGAAGTAGCGTAAGTATACGTATACAACAGTCCAGAGCAAAGGCAGAGACGATGAGAAAGAAGAAATTAGAAGAAGTAGAACTACTCGCGTGTGGTGATTGGTGCTACGCGTTCGTAGGCGAGCACCAGGTTGAGGAAGGTGGGAAAAAGTTCCTTGTGCTTAAGTAGTTCCTGCTGCTGACATGGCCAAAAGATATTAATTTTCTTTGCCGTTAGTTCGATTTCTAGTCGTTCTTTTGTGAGGCAGATGCATCTGTATAGATAATGGTTGGGGCCGTCCACTTCCTTGCAGATGGCACAGAGGGGAGAGCGTTTCCCTGTGAACCGGTGCAGATAATTGGAGAATTTTCCGTGTCCAGTTATAAACTGTGTGCCTACACGATACAGTCGAACCCCCTATTACAATGTTGATTTTTCCATTTTATATGAGTTCCATGTTGTACGAGTCACTTAGATTTTACAAATATCTGTGCCGGGCTGTGAACGGCTCACATATTTCTTAGCTTCTGGTCTTCCTCTTTGTCCTCTTCTCTGTCCAGGTAAGAGTTTTCCTCTTTCTTTCAGCCGGAGTGGCTTCTCCTCCGGACTCGGTAATGGCGTCGCCGTCACGCGAGCGCCTTCAAAAGCCACCATCGGGATCGGAAGCACTCATTACTTCTGACGAATTAAGATTTATTTCTCCTCTGTCGGAATTGGAGAAACTCTTCTCCATCCGTTCGTCCCTTCCTTCGGACCAAATCTATACGATTTTTCTGGAAGGACAGGGACCTCTCCGACGTCTTCGTCCGGCTGAGCTCCACGCGGCCCTCAAACTGCATTTCCCCCGACCGGAATCGCTGCTAGATGTCCGCTACGCCCGTAGTGGTCTTGTAATAATCAAAACTCGAGATCACCAAGCCGCAGAGGCGGCTCTTCGTATTCCCGATATTGCCGGGATACCAGTCCGTGGCCGTTTGGCCCCGGACTGTGCCCATACCGCTTACCTCCTTCGTGGGGTGGATCCGTCGATCACAGCCCGAGAAATTTACGATATACCTTCGGACTCCCACCTTCCAATCCTAGAGATACGTCGTTTTACACGACGGGACGGGGATAACATCGTGCTTAGCTCCACGGTTTACTTCTCAGTGGCCAGTGCCTCCCCGCTGGAATCCGTTACTATCTATTACCAACGATACCGCTGTGAGCGATATATTCCCGCCCACGCCAATGCAGGCGATGCCTCAATTTTGGCCACTCGCCCACGACATGCCGCGGCCGCTGCAAATGTATTACTTGCAGGGACAAATATGCGTATGCTGCAATGTATTGTAAACGAGATACTGATTCGTAGTACAAACACTTGCGTAATCAATTCCACTTCCAATTCGAATCATAATAAAGAATAAAATTTGAGAAAATAAAGTATAAAATAGTATATATATAATCCAAGATAATAAGGTGTCTTGGATTACAGTATATATTTCCTCGACGCTTAGGACGTCGGAACAATTAATTGTTTGAAGCAACTATTTGTGCATAGTGTAAGTTTATTTCCTGTTAAAATTAACGGATTATGCAAGATACTCGTCATCATTTGTTTCCTCCATGTGCAAATATTCCCTTAAACGATCCTCCCCTAAAAGTCGGCTGACTTACACAAATATTAGTTCTACGCATATTTTATCTAAAACCACAGTATTAACTCTCTTCAACCCGTGGCGCTAATAGGGGCTTTTTCCCCGTATCGGTCGGTCAGACCCGCTCGAACCAGGCGGAGAGGTACGAGCCCAAAATACCCGCGACAAGCCTCCCGCGAAAAATTCCCGCATAGATCCGATCCCTCGTCCCCGCGGCAGTTTGCCCGGGCCTTAACCTTTTCGGCCGTCCGACCGCCGTCGAATATTTCGTTATTAATCGATAAAACAAAAAACAGAATTTAATAGAAATCGTTTATTATTAATTTTAATTTTTATATTTAAAAAATGCAATCGACGTATCGAAATTTTGACAGAAACGTAATCGAAAATATTTAGTGTTTCTTTCTACATTTTCCTATCGCTTCCGGTGACAGAATTCTGAGAGTAAACGCTTCCGGGTCTATTTCTAAAGGCAGAGATTTCGTCCTGCAGTTGTCGTCCCTCTTCGTCTAACCTTTTCTTTTCTTTCGCGTGTTTTCCCATTAATCCGTCGAATTTCGCGTACAACTGTAATTTATTCCAATTGTTTATTTGTTATTATTTTTCTAACCAACCTTTATATCTCCGAGAAAATGTCTTCACCTCTTTTTCCGCTTTTTTCAATTCGTTTTCTTTTGCCTTCACTCGAGCCACGAACATCTCTCGGGTTTCCTTTTCTTTCATTTCCAGTTCCTGCCACGATAATCGAGAATTGTTTGAATTTTATCGATGAAATTAAACTTTATGAAATCACTTTTATAATTCATAATTCTGACAATTAATTAATATTTATATAATCTATATTCTTCGTAAAATAATCATACAGTTTATAACAGATACGACAATGTGTTTTAATATTTCGAACAATAACGACACCCGCTTAGTGCAGATACCGAGATTTCACCCCATATAAAAAGATATAGAGCATCTAAGATTACGCACCGGACCCGAACAATACGCGACACGATTGGAAGATCGTCATTGAGTTTTATTCCAATGCGATATTTCTAATTTAATAAACTTTTTACCTGGAGATGTTCTCTCCTCTTCTGTCCGTAGATCTCCAGGAGGCAGCTAGGCTTGTTTTTAGAGTCGCCGTCCGAGAATCCCATTTGAGTGAGACGTTTTTGCCTGTAAAGTTCGTAGTGGCACATATGAGTCGTCTCTTTCATATCTTCCATGTTGGTCCTGATCATCATTTCTCTCAGTTTTACAAAATCACAATGAGCATCGTTTTCCACTACATTTATAAATTAACAGAAATCATTAATTTACCACATTTAACATTACAGTCGACCCCCCCTATAACACTGTTGATAATTCCGTTTTATATGAATTCCGTGTTATACGAGTCACTTAGTTGTTTACAAATACGTGTGCCGGGCTGCGAACGTCTCAGTCTGCGAACTTCGGTCTGCGAACGAACAGTGTTATAGAGGGGTCGACTGTATATTTTAAATACTAATTATTGTAAATTAATTATTTAATAATATTCATAATTAAATAAAACCATATAAGATTTAGAATGAATTTGCAATTGAAAACAATGGAAATAACGCGAATTGCGTTATAAATTACCTTCGATAACGCCCCACGGATACTGTCGGACTCTAGCTACTTTATTTCCAACACGTGCGAATTCTTCGCTTCCGACGACAGCGAAGGGAATGTGAGCCTAAAATAAAATCAAATTCGGATCATCGAATAAATCTTGAATCGGCTCGATTACCTTATAAACCATGACGATGAACGTATTAATAAACACAAAAATGACTACGTAAGTATGAATCTTAAATATACTATTACCTTTAGATAATACCTACCGATGATGCTTACTGCTCATACAGTTACAGCGGTGTTTTCGTCTTTATATTGTATAGCTTTAGGCATAGTTATAAGTTTACCTTTACCTCGTGTATATTTAAAATTACCTTTATCTATAAAACCTTTAGTTAATACCAACTGACGAGGGGCTATTTTCTATCGGAAAATAGTCCGTTCTTTACGTAGTCATTTTTGTGTTTTCGCTTTGATTCCCGAGCGTTTGTGCCCATCGTCGGTCCGATAAGCCCTCGCTATTATCTGCCTCGCGATTGTTGATAATTTAATTAATATACTGTAATTATACCGAGGGATAGAAGCATCTTTTGCAATAAAGTTTTATATTTTGTGGTAAGCTCAAACCATAAAAATACTGTATATTATAATCATTGCATAATGCAACTTCATATACAGTCGACCCCCATAACACTGTTGATAATTCCGTTTTATATGAATTTCATGTTGTACGAGTCACTTATATTTTACAAATACGTGAGCCGTTCACAGCCCGGCACACGTATTTGTAAAATCTAAGTGACTCGTACATATTTATATCGTTACATGGATTCCATATAAAACGGAATTATCAACAGTGTTATAGGGGGGGTCGACTGTATTTATTAAAACAATTGATTCATTTCTTTCTATAATTTGCAATCAATTTCAAGTACATTTACGTTTCGCTTGAAAATATTTCATAATAATTCTTTATTAATATGTAAATATTATTACAGTAATACAGTATATTTATTTATTGTATAAGTTGAAAAATAAAATTACATAAGTATAATCTATCATGTGCAACATTTATATAGTATATAAGCGTTGCACGTGATCTATACAAATGGTGTTAAAATATCAGTAGTTGTATTGAAAATAGATTAATCTTTGTTTAATTATAATAGAAATAAGATTCTTACATTCATCGAAGCATTTCTTTCCGCAACACTTTCGTCGTCTGTTGGAAATTGATAAATTTCAATTCCGTTGCTTACCAATTCGCTCATTATCTACAATACATCGATAATTAATTGTCAATAAAAAGTTTAGTAAGTGAAAGTCTATAATTATATATTACGTTCTCCGGTGGATTTAATAATTAATAAATAATACGTCAAATAAGTCATTAACAAATACAATTATTTCAATCTGTTGTCGCGTCGAAGCTCTGCATTTTCTTCGTATAAAAAGTAATTAAAAATTACACAGAAACAATTAGCATTTTTAATTAATTCTCGATTCTACGAGACTGTTTTTTAGGGTCTATTAGGGTTTTGTTTATATACGGCAACCGGGCATTTGAGTCATACGCCCGGGAGGGATGGCTCCGGGGAGAACTTTCTACGGGGGAAACCTTAAGAAATTAGAGCCGATCTAAACTGGAAATCGTAATAAATTTTAAATTTCTTCGAAAATTTTTCAGTACTTTTAATGAAATATTTATTAATATTGTTCAAAGTTTAAAGAACGTACCTTGATTTTAAATTTTTGTAATTCGGTTTTTGAGACGATATCGGCTTTTGCTATTATAGGAATGATGTTGACTTTGCCGCTGAGTTCTTTCATGCACATCGCATCGACAGATTTTAACCTGAAAAATATAAATAAAATTCAAATAAGAAGAAATACAAATATTAGCAAAGTGATTGTTAATACCATTCGTATAATCAGAAAATATTTCATAATAATTTATATGACCACAACTGCCTTTCTCGTAATATAATTCCTTTGTGATAAATTTTACACGCGTGATTAATATCGTTAAACTTTAGTAACGAACGGTAAAATTATCTTCCACTGTATTTTCCTAGAGTGAAGGAACAAACTTATAAACAACTCACCCGTGGCACGTGGGAACAATAAAATAAAGGCAGGCGTCGATGCGAGAATCGTGATAAGTATCCAAATTTCGTTTAATTTTCAATTCATCTTGTAAATATGCCTCAAACTGAGCATCTATGTAATCGACAATTGGTTTATAACTGAAAATACATTGAAAATTAACTAATATTACAGACTCCAATTAATAATTAATATTGTTATTACTATAAACTATTCAGAAAAAAAATAACACTATTAAAGTTGTACCTGTGTTGTTTATTAATCTGATCTCCGTAACCAACTGTTTCCACCAAAGTTAATTTCAAGCACACGTCGGATTCTCGAAGCTCTACACAAATAACAATTGAGATTAAAACTCTGCAATTTCGTTCGAGATATTTGCTTTTATTTATTGTACTTATTATTAAATATAATCAGAAATGAATTTTGTACTAGATTAGGAACTACAAGTCGACCCCCCTATAACACTGTTGATTATTCCGTTTTATATGAATTCCACGTTGTACGAGTCACTTAGATTTTACAAATACGTGAGCCGTTCACAGTCCGGCACACGTATTTGTAAAATCTAAGTGACTCGTAGAACATGCAATTCATATAAAACGGAATAATCAACAGTGTTATAGGGGGG